CTCATCCAAAATGACTCTTTGTGCTGAGTTTTGTAGAAAACTAACCTTTTGAAGCTTTTTTTAAGTATAATATCAAAACAGAATATCTTGAGCCCAATTTTGTGAAACAATAAGCTATAAAATTTTCATTAAGAACTGGTCTGACCTGTCTGCAGTACAACAGTTTTATCCAAATAGGTTTTCGGCTCTCTTTTTATTACATTAAAAGTGCAGTTTATTGCAGTAAAATTGGATTTTTTGGAGCAAAGGAATACTCTTTTTATTTTTTTTTCTATTCGACTAAACCAATTGAATTGTTGCTCTTGTAAAAACTTGCTTAATCAAGAGCCAGTGATTATAACGGCCTGCGCTCAAAATGCTCAAAAACCATTCGGACGCACTAAAACAGCTAAAATTGTTCTGAATTTCCGTGCTTAAACTTCCCAAATTTCGAGAAAATTTTTCCATTACAGTTTTTCCAAAGAGTTGTGTTTGTTCCCAAGTCTACAACCATTTCAAAAGTTATAAAAAATTTGTACCATATTCATATTGCTAATGAAACTGGTATCACATGTCGATAATAGAACTAACGTGAGAATCGTCTCAAAGATTTTCTACAGTTCATGACATAGCTAGTGTCACTAGTGATTGTATTTCCTAATAGGCCATTTAGAAAACAGATAAAAGCTCATTTGACTAACGCTCAAACAGCCCATTTTAAGCATGTAGTTTTTAGTACAATTTATTTTTGAAAAAAAGCAGCTTTACACGTTCAAATCTTATTTCAATTTTGTTGACTCGATTACGTGTCAGAAAAATGTTCCTTGAAAAGAAGTTACTAACCAGTACAAGAAAATATATAATTCTGCGAAGAAAACTCTAACCGGAGTGGTGCATTTAGTAGTGAACATATTTTATTGGATATTGTTAAATATGACAACTAATTTAAGTAGCTTGATTTTTTTTGGTTTGCTATGGGGCATATCTACTCGTAATTGCAAATCATTTTGATTTTTTTTTGCTGAAAGTTATAACTTTTTTGAAATGACTGATTCCCAAAAAGGCACTAAAAACCTCCCAAAACTAAATAAATTCAAAAGACTAAAATCTACTACAAATACGCACAAAATAAGTTTATTTGAAATGGCCTGAGTTAAGCATAAGTCAGCCTGCTTGCTCGCATTAACCGCTCACAAGGAAAAAAAATGTTCAAACTGTTACAATGTCGTTCGATTCACGACTGAAAAAAAAGTTTCAAATGAAATATTACTGGACTCATTCCGATGATTGCTGTGTTACTGTTGCCTAATTTTAGGCAGAGCGTTGAAAACAGGAAAAAATAACTAAAATACTCTCAAATGCAATGGTCTTCCATACTTTCAATGGAACAGTAAATTAATTTTCAGGCTAATTGTACAAACATATCAACAATGATTGAATGCAAATTCTTCTTTTGCACCAGTGTGAGACGTCAATAACGTCAAAGGACATCAAAAATCACTAAGTCTGTAGTGTTACGTCTCTTTCGAGTAATCTACACCAGTTCTTTTTTGTTGACTTTTAACATAATTCTTAAATGTTTTCGAAGGAATACTCTCTTTATCATTTTTTTTCTTCGGCCAAATCAATTGAACTGTTGCTGTTGCTCTTGTAAAAAACATTTTTTTGACAGCAAATGTTTTCAACTGCTTGCGCTCAAAATGCTCCAAAACCATTCAGACGCTCAAAAATCATCGTAACCGTTCTGAACTTCTAAAAACTACACCAGTTTTACCCAGAATTGCATAAAACTCCCAAGTTTTGGAACAACTTTTCCATAACATTTTTTCCGAAGAATTGTATTGATTCCCAAGTTTTCCGAAGAGTTGTATATTTTTCAAGTGTTCAACCAGTCCAACAATTATATAAAACTTGTAAGACAATAATCATGATACTCCTACCACAGATCATTAATAGTACTGGCATGAAAATAATCTCAAAATTTTCTGCATTTCATGAAACAACTTTTGTGACTAGTGAGTATTTTTCCTAATAGGTCATTCAAAAAACAGATAAAAGCTTATTTGACTAACGCTCAAATAGCTCAATTTCAGAAGGTAGTTATTGACATATTTTTTTTAAAAGCAGCTTAACACATTCAAACCTTGTTATCAATTTGTCGACTCGATTATATGTCAGAAAAATTATCCCTGAAAAGAAGTTACTAACCGCAGTACAAGAAAATGTATAATAGCAGAGAAAAACTCCAACCGGAGTAGCACATTTAGTAGTTAACATAATTTAAAGAACATTGTTAAAACTGTTAACTTATTTAATTACCTTAATTTTTGTTTTGCTATGGGGCAAATCTACTCGTATAAATTACCTGGAATGAATTTAATTGCCTAGTTTTTTTTTCTGTGACAAAAACGTTTTTCAAGTAAATAGATAACAGGTTTGGCATAGTGGCGATCACCAAAATGAAGGACAAGCTCAGTATCTTCAAGGCCGCTATTGAACAGGGAAAAATATTCGTATGATTTAAGCAGTTCTAAATGACTGTTAACAGCACAGCGCAAAGGTAAAGCCAGGGGGCGGCTTGCTCATCGGCCGCTGTTCGAAGGCACGTTGCGAGAAAGCTGCTCATTACGGGTGCCTGCTGAGTTTTGAACAATTGCTTCATTTGTTGCACCAGCGTTCTGGAGTCTGAACAACTAGGTCATTTCTTGTCGGTACTAAATTTCTTACCTGGTCGATTGCAGTCAACTTGCATTTGTTGGAGTGCTAAAGTCAAGCAATATATGTGAAGTTGTTTTCTGTATATTTCACAACAGCAAATCCAGCAACCTTGTACGAACGTAAAAATTTGGCGTAACTACTTTTTATAAAATTCAATTAACTTCTAACCAAGCTGAATACCAATTTGGTCGATGTAAAATAATCCAAATTTTCTTTGAAAGTCAACCGTTTAGGTTCTGTTTCATTTTATGAAAAGGTAGTTTTTCTAGACCTGCAAATTTCATGTTAGTGTAGTAAAATTAACTTCATCGTTTTGCGTGAATTCTTTTTTATAATAGTTTTTGATACGTTTTTTTTTCTGTGTGGTGTGATAAAAAGGTCTAAACAAAAATTTGAAACCTAGGTACATTCGACAATACAAAACAGCCCAGTTGGAAGTCAGTGTTTTAAAATCTTTTTTTGCTGAAATTTTTTTTTGAAAGTTTTGATTCCCAAAAAGGCACTAAATAATTCCCAAAACTAATTGATTTCAAATAGACTAAATTTCAGTACAATTGCGCACAAAACTGCCTGGCTTAAGTATAGGTCAACCTGCTTGCTCGCGTTATTCGCTCAAAAGTAGAACCAAATCGTTCAAACTGTTTAATTGTCAAACGAGTCAAGAATGAAAAAAAAAATTATGACATATCACTCGACTCATTCCGATGATTGTTGTGTTACCTGATTTTGCGCAGAGCGTAGAAAACAAAAAAATATATTTCAAGTTCTATGGAGTAATTTAAAATAAATTAATTGATGAAATTTTCCAAAAAAAAGCTGAAAAAATTTCAAAACATTTTTTTAATGTTTTTTTTTTAAAAATCATTCCCACAAGCTAAATAAAAAGTACACAGTGATATTTTTTGCGTATAACAAAGTATTAAATAGGCCAAAGAGCCTGCCTCAAGTATGTCGGAACCATTTCTTTCTAGTACGTTTTAAATCTCCATGACTTCATAAAAAAATCATACAAAAATCTCATGGCAATAATACTTTTCGAATGATCTTTAAAATTTTCCGTCAAAGTTGCATGTTACAAAGTCGAAATTTATATGGAGAAAAAAAGCAAGACGAGCACAATAAATTTTCCTTTTTCTTCAAACATCGGAACAAAATGCCATAGAAAAAGTTATTTAATGATTGTTTGCGTGATATGTTCTCCTTCACGTTTTCAGGGCTTAAAATCAGTCAGTTTGAATTTTTTGTCGGTCTGTATAAAACTGAAAAATGAGGGCTTAAGTTTCAATAATGCATTTTCAAAATGTCTCAAAGTTTCATTTAAAGTTCAATATAATCAAAACATGTCAGTTGCTTTTTTCTTAGCACACGTAGAAAACTGTATTTTTAATAAAGTTTAATTTATAAAATTGAATAGTTTTAGGTTTTGAATAGGTCCTTTTTAAATTAATCCGAGTTAAATCAGAAATTATTGAAGTTTTTGGAAATAGGTTTGCAAAATTCCGCTGAGGTTCTTCTGAGAGAGATTCTTCTGAGAAAATCCCGCTGAGATTCTTGCTGACATTCCCAACTAAAAATCAGGACTCCCAAAAATCGTGGAGCTATCTTCAAGGTGTTATGTAATATTGGATTCACTGTTGAGTCTTTTGGCCAATTTTTTTCAGATCAAAACTCAGGGGCGGATTTAGGGGGGGGGGGGGGCGGACGCCCCTTCCCCCTCAGGGATTCGACCCCCTGCCGATCCAAAGGGCCCCCCCTTTGATACTTTTTCAGAAATCCATTTTTGGCCGACCGACTCTAAAATTTTTCTAAGAGCGCCTTCGGCGCCAATATATACTAACTTTGAGGGGAGCGCGCGCCAAAAAAAAACGCGATTTTTTTGTCAACATTTTTCAAAAAGTGCCCAAAAACGGCTTTTTTGACTGTTTTTTCAAAAATTTGCCTGCGGCGCAGAAAAATAAAGTGAGCCAAAATAGGGGCAAAACAGTGCTTTGGGAGAGCTCGAAAAATCAATTGGGTCGACCAAAAAAAAAGGTCGTCAAAATTTTCGAATTTTTTTGAAAATCCGCCACCCCCCCCCCCCCCCCCCCCCCTCGAGAAAATCCTAGATCCGCCCCTGTCACAACTACAAGTTTTAAGAATTGGCTTGTTTGTAATGAATCAAAAAATAACAAAAAGAACAGCTTTCAGCTAACAAAAAACAGGAGGGTTCTTGAAAATGATGCTTGTACATCATTGAAATATCATCGTTTTTTTTTGAAACATTGAAACATTTCATCGGTTTCAATCACTTAAGTACAAGCAAACTAGGAAATAATAAATTGTACGGTGATTATTGGGACCAAGTTTGAGCAATTTTGACTATTCGACCGTTTTTGGCCCAAATTACATAACATCAGTTTGAAATTATTTGAAAAACTGAAATATTTTGCTAAAAAATAAGTATACAGAACTTGAAATTATGTCAGAACAGGACAACTGAAAACATGTAAATTTTCCTTTTTATTTTTCTGTGTTTGAATGAATTTTCTCCTATTTGGAACAAGTTAGTTCGTTTTTTTTCAAAATCTGGCAATTCAATGTTTCTTCTTTTTCTCATCATTGGGAGCCATAAGTCTAGAAATGAAATTGACTACGAACAGCATAAAACATAAGAGAGAAGAACAGGAAAGAATCGTGATAACTTTCCATGTCACGTGAACTCTTTTGGCGTTGATTTGGTATTTCAGTTTATACTGAACTGTAGTTTTTCCTCTACTTGCGATTTTATGCACAAATTCATTAATTGCGTTGTAATCTTCAAATTGAGCAAACTCTTTTTCAATTTCCGTCAAGTTTGTGACAAAATTTTGATAATTTTTTTGGATTTTTTGAATTGCGTTCTCAATTTGGTCGAAATTGAAGTTTCTAATATCGAGGCCAATTTTTAGGTTTTCTACAATAACCGCGTTCGGAAATTGGTCGCCAAACTGCGGGACGCAAACCGCAGGTTTTCTTCGTTTGATAAAGTCGACCAAAGAGCCAAGACCGCAATGAGAAACGAAAACCTTCACTTTTTCTTCGGCAAGAAGCGAATATTGAGGCAAATAACCACTAATGAAAACTTTATCAGACATCTTTTTACTCGCATTTTCAGCGACTAATTTCAAAGTTTGACTCATAGCCCAAATAACTCGGAAACTGTTTTGATTTTCTATTTTTTGCAGGAAACTTTTGACTGATTGCTCGTTCAAAACCGCGTGAGTTCCCAAGGAAACGTATACAATGTCTCCAGCGCTTTGTCGAATCCAGTTTTCAAGGTCGGACTCGAGGGGAACGTTACTGAAGTTTTTGTCCCTTAGTCCGCCAAAATAAATGTACTCAGCACTCGGATGAGGTTTCGGGTAGACCAAAGGCGACGTCGGAACTAACATCGGAAAACGACTAGCGTACTCATTAATTACAAAATTACCTTGAAAATCAAGCTTCGGAAGATCGTTTTCTGACCTTTTCTGGTCTATCCAATTCCAACATTTGGTGAAAAAAGGTTTCAATGCCACAATTTCGTAGATAGACATCTCGATTTTGTCTTGAATACATTCAACTGCGCCCGGAACGGCGACGCTCTCCACGACAACCGGGACGTCAAATAGCTCCGCGGCCACTAGGGTCGAGGGGAATATAACTTGATCGACCACCAAAATATCAAATTTTTCGCGATCTTTCTCTAAAATTTCTTTCAAAACGTTGTAAGAAAATTCGTATCCTTCAAGAAGTCGGGGACAAAAGCTGAAAAGAAGGTCGTAATTTCCCGAGAAAGGATAGTCGTTGGGTAATCCGTGTCGTTTAATGACGTCAAATTTCAAGAAGTTGTGGAAAACTTCTAACTTTTTCTCGCAAAGTTGAGCAGATTCGATTACGGTGCAGTTATTTTGCGTGCAAATCGGAAACAGCAATGATGACATAGTTCCAAAATGTCCTCCGTAACAACTCATGAAGAACAAAACCTGCAGAAAATTGCACGGTGAAATGAGAAGGCAGAAAACTGTCATCAAAATTACACAATTCTTCATGACTGATCATGGAATTTTCGAAACTGGCGATATTATTATTTTATGGTAAAAATTTCACGAAACTTCGTTTCACTTTTGGTTCGTTCGTTTCTTGTAGAAAAAAACAATTAGAAGTCGTAAAATTGGACTTAATTTCAAGTAAATTTAACATTCCGTTAGTCATAAATGAATTATTTTTCATAGATGTTTTTCAGAAAGTGTTCAAAATAAAACTATATGTGGTGGTAAAAATGCAAGCTATCAAGCAGAATTGTATTTTATAATAAAAGTGTTGTTGCATAATTTGCTGTACGGTGGTTGAATTGAGAATTCAGCTTGTATATTTACAAAATAGATAGACAAACTGAATTCATAGTACAGAAACACAGCTAGCAAGGCATTTAAGCAGTGTCTTTAGCACAACACCAAAAAAATGTGAATAAAGAATGGTATAGATGTCTAAATTTCGATAGCGCTTTTAAGTTAAATGTTCTTTTTGCAGAAACTCGCGGGCTAAAAATCTTCTTTTTTTGCTTCTACTTGAGAAAGTGCTTCAAAAACTCAATGTTTATACATGAAAATTGTCTCTGACTTTCTATCTCCCTTATTTGAGCTCCGCGACTAATTTTTCGACTTTGTCAGTCGCGAAAATGTTAATTCCGCGACCGAAAAACTATAGTCTGGACAGGGTTTTAAGTCGCTGACAAACTCTGGAATTACCGTATCTCGGTCGCGATGGTCAAAAAATTAGTCGCGGGGGTCAAAAAATTGGTCGCGGCGGTCAAAAAATCAGTCGCGGTGGTCGAAATTTTAGTCGCGGTGGTCGAAAAAGTAGTCGCGGCGGTCAAAAAATTAGTCGCGGCGGTCAAAAAATTAGTCTGCTCTCTAAACATCAACCTCGAGAGGCGGGGACGAACTAAGTCGACCGTCAGTTGTTCAAGCATGTGCGCCTCATTTTGTTCGTAGGGCCATCGCACGTCAGGGTACCGTGGTTCTCAGCTCCCTCTCCATTTCTTCTCTATTTGTCTGAAAACAACCATTAATCCACTGTCTTTCTTGAAGTGAATTCCATCTCTCCTTAGTCGATGTAATCAATCATCCGCTGGACGCGTTTTCAATTTAAATCAGTCTCAGTTCACTTGGGTTTACCCTGACTAGAATCCTCATCATTTCATTCCATTGGGTCAAGTTTCTGTTCTTGAAATTGGCTATTGGCGAATCGGTGTCTCGATTGGGAAGAATGGTGAACAAGACTACGAGTTTTGGTTCGTCTTTCTTATTTTGGCTCGTTCAGGAGGCTCCCGTCGTATTTCTGTTTTAATTGGGTTACTGGAATTTTCATTCGTTCCTATCATCACAGATAATGTCCGTCAGTTTGATCACTTGTGTTAAAGAGGCTTCAGCAAAGGAGTTTTTCACTAAATCTCCTATCAAACCGTCTCGTATGATCAGATGACGATTTCCAGTAGAGTTGGTTGATGAATTGCTGCGGAATTTCAGTTCATGCCATTCAGACAGGCTCTTAGGTAGTTTTGCGGTCACTTGAACGTAGAATCTCCGAGTACCGTGATCTTTCCTGATATCAACCACACGTTGGCTTAATTCGGTACCAACCCGGCTGGTACGGCGGAATCCATGGTTCGCCTTCTTCTGGCAGGTGATTGGTCCAATTGACGGGCAAGATATGTGTCCGAAAGATCCGCTATGTTAGTTCTGGAACTAGGTGCAGGTGGGTTTATCTCTGTGTTTATCCGCGGGCTCAATTGAACTGCAGAGTTCTTGAGCCTTTGTCCTGGACGACGTGTTCACTTCGTTATAGTCGAAACTTTATTTAACAGCTTGTGCACCTTCATGTGCATTGTAAAGCTCCCTCAAGTGCTTTATGTTCCCTTCCTTCAGGGGGTTATCAAGTAATCTTCTTCCTCTTCTCGTTCTTTGGCCTTCTCTTTCTTTTTAGTTCAGCCTTGTACAAAACTCCTGCCAGCCACGATCTTTCTTGTGAAGCACGTCACTCACTTCTGCCGTTTGAATCTTGATTTCAATCATCTTCATTTTCTTCGAGATTTGAGCGACAGTGGGGAAAACTGTTGAGTCTGAAGAGCCTGGCCCATCACTTGAACTTTCTGACCCGAAGCGAGATTGTGTAGAGGAACTGTGGCGAACTGCAGATACACTTCCCCTAACCTGAAATCTAACCTAGCCAGGTCGTGACCAAACATCTCTTCACGTCGTCATCGCACGAGTCTACTGCTGCCCGTCTCGGCGTTACCGGACACGCAAAAGGCCAACAGTAGCTCTACCTCCGTCGGACAGCTCCCATGACCCTTTCTTGCAATAGCACTCAGTAGTGCAACTACGAACATTGCCAACAACAGTGGATCCTTCTGTTTGCGTCATATATTGGTAGGAAGAGTGAGGTCACTCCTCTTTCAACCAAAAACTCCCTGAGTAGAGTGCCGGGACTAAGGTCCTGGGGCTCACTTTCTGTGGCCTTAATTTAAAAAAAATAGTATTTTTCCAAGATCTGTGATGCAGCAGGGCGCAGCGATATCAACCCTTCCAAACCAGGCCACTGATTCCGATTGATAATGGTCCAGTGTGTTTCCTTGTCATCGAGCAGGACTCCTATCTCATTCAGCCCAGCTACCGATTCCATCACATCATTCAAAACGATTTTGTCCAGAACAACATCGTCACTGTGTCAGTCGTGCTTTTTGTGTCTCTTCTACCTCTTGCCGGGCTTCCGTAGCCAAGGGAAATAAAGTTCTATTCATTTGACGACTTCAGTTTGCTCCGGCTCAATTAAGCCCTCCTCAGCAAAGAGGATTGTTTAATCATCAATCTCTATCCGCTCATTCAATTCTAGATCCAATGGCAGGTCGCTATCATTTATGATCTCCTTTCCGTCCTTCTTGTCGCGCGTACCACATACATTCATTTCACAAACCGTGTCCACCATCAAGTAATCATCATCCTACATATCTGCGGGGATGAACCAACCTTCCAACGAAGCGGTGTGTGGCTTGATTTTTTCTTGATGAGCAGCGCGTCCGAACTCAATCGAATGAAGCGGCTACCTTAGTGCACTTTACTTCGGCAATTTTTTTGGTTCACTTCGGGGAATTAATTCTTGAGTATGTTTTAGCGTGAGCGGTTCTTTCATCAAATCCTTTTCGCTCAGTTTATGCCTTTTCAATACATAACGTTCGTATGTTTGCGGCGCCTTCCTTTTTCGCTCATTTTTGGGACAGAAGAGCATTAACGGCAGAGCTTTTTCTAATGCCCGTTTAACATCAGGTGTGGGCTTATCCCAGTGACGGAATGCTTTGCGCACTTGTACGCTCCCATCACATCAGATAAGAGCTTAAGAGCTTGTCCCAGCCGTACATGTATCAAGAGCAGAAAACTCTCGGCATGGAGACTAATATGAGATTTTGCCTAATAACCAGTTTATTCGTCGTAATCGTGGTCGAGTGAACCTCTGTCACTTGCGACCTTTTCGTCAATTTTTTTGTTAGGTTACAAACATTTGCTTTGCCCTTGTCTGACTCAACGTGATCAGGCTACCATGCTTGGCAATCCAGACATTAATCAGATGATCACACTTTCCTCCGCTGATGCCGTCACGCAGGGGAATGCTTCTGCGTACTTAATGAAACGATCAATCATTACTAGTACTTGATAATAACCTGAAGTCGTCATGCATAGTTTCTGATGATAAATATGCACTACCTTGTTGAATCTAGATGACTCTATGGACTGTAAAGGAAATCGTAACGTTCTTGGGTCCTTCGCCTGTTGGCTTGAAAGACACGCAGAAATTCATTTTTCCCAAGCTTTCTTTAGGCCGGGCAATTCGAATTGCTTCTGTGTCTTGATGTAAGCTTTGTCCACGACCTGATGAACCATCTAGTCATGTGAGTGGAACAGCAACTCAATCCGATACAGTTATGCCACACTATCGCGTTATACTTTTAAGGACTTTGTCTTCCTCCTTCCGCTTACGAGCTAAAATCCCGTCTTTATTCAACTATAACAGATCTTTTTTTTTGCAGAAAACTGCTTCAAGATCTTGTAACAATCGTCTTCCAATTCACGATTATCGGAAGCTCCTTTTTCCATCCGTCTTATCAAATTGCTTGTAATTTGATCATTTCTTTGAGCCCATAGAAGAACCAACAGTCGGTATCTCGTTTTCAAGTAAGTTTTAGTTACTTTCAGTTTCAGCTGACTATTTCTGGAAAATGGGTATCATCAATCAGTTTAACACAACATAATTTCGTCAAAGATGTCGCGTCTTGTTCCAGAAACGTTTGACTGCTGCTATCAACGCATATTCTTCAGCAGCTCGATTGACTATGGTAACAATTTCATCGGAGTTATATCTATCTCGATTCGGGTCTTGATACCTTTCCCTATCTAGTCCGCGTTGTTTCCACTCTATTAACAAGAAATGAAATGCTGTTTCTGACTTATCTGAATTGGAAGTTGCCTCAAACATGTTTCCCCCAGACTATGGGTTTCGAGTCATCACTCGAAGTTTTGGAGTAAGCGTAGCCGTATTCTGCTCTTCATGTTTATTGACTCACCGAACAAAATTTTGGACTAGCTTTTTTGGATTTTGCGGAAAATGCATCGTGCCAGGGCTTATTGGTATCTGTCTCCCGGGACAGTTCCGCGTCGCAATCTCTTCAAGAATCGACACTTGGACAAGGTTTCGTTTTCTGATGAATACTCTGCGCACGGCTCATAATCCATTTTATTAGCAACAAATTGAACACTCCTTTCTCCAATAGTTTTCTCACTAACACGATTCCTTTGTTCGTGTGGAGTAGTTAGTTGTTGATGATCGCTGTAAGATAATCTCAGCAGCTTATTTTTTGGCAATGGCAATAAAAACACTAGTTGATGTTGTGTTGATCTGCAATCCCGGTCGACGTCATCATTCCGGATTACCAGTGGTTGGACTTCTGCCTTTTCAGTGACAGTCACATTGCTACAGTCCAATTGTGGTCCTACCTTTCTACTTCTCTGTCGATCAGACCGCATGACTTTTTTTCCACCTTCACTGTTTTGATCAGCATCGAGATAATATTGATGCCCAATTTGGTAAGTTTTAGTTGTACCAGATTGAAGCGTCTTAAGAAGTTCAAAAAAATTGAGTCGCTTTTAGTCATAATCTTTTTTTTTCAGCAGCGTTATCAACTGGAGTTCCAGGGTGTCCCAGTATAAGATGCCATGACTTGACAAGCCATCTAGTGCAATTGACAGTTGTTCGAAGTCTCTTTATCCAAAATGGTGAACATTCGTAACATTCTGTCTTCTTCCTGAGACTGTCGATGTTTTGGTGATTGTCGGGGGGTTCGGTGCTCTATGATCATGTGATAGCCTTTGAGACGCAAAATCTAACATCCGATATAGCTTTGATCCCCCGCGTAGTTTGAAGGGACCACTCCTTAAATAGGCTCTATTTTTCCCAACAAAACTGATCACAGCAAGCATTTCTGGCCTTGGCACACCGTATTTTAATTCGGCGTCGCTTAGATTTTTACTGCCATAAGCTGTAGGCTGTACAATAGTTTTACCGTTACGTTCTTGTTATTGGTGGAGTATGCCAGACATTGCTACAACTGATGCATCAGTGTCCAATACGAACATCTTTTCTTCAACAGACACCGGAGCCTCTCTAAGCTCCCGTTCGAAATTCCTAAATTCAACTTGTTCTTCATCGTTTCGGCCGAACATCTTTTCCTTCTTCTGCATAAGTTGTGGCATAGGATATATCCTTTCTGCATATTCTGTGAATAACTCCAGATATTTATTGGCAAGGCCTTGAAAATTCATTAGCTGAATGTCCGTTTTGGGTGCTTTCCACGTGAGTGCTGCTTCAACCGCCTCTGGATTTCTGGCTCCGTTTTTGTTCACCAGAAGACCCAGATATTTTATGGGATCCATCAAGATTTCAAACTTCAACGGTTTACATTTCAGGTCGGCATGTTTTGTGCCGGTGGAATTTTCGTCCAGCCTTCTATGTAAGCTTCTAGTGTCGGTGTTTGAATTGCGATGTCGTCAGCGTAGCACATTATTAGGGTTCCCTATTTCTTCACGACGTTGGTAGGTGCCTGAGCCATTAACAGTTGGAACTTGGCTGTCGCATTACATAATCCGAAAAGTATTCTCTTTCACTGGAAAAATCCCAGTTCACATGCAAAACTTGGCTTCTCTAAATGCTGTTTCCTTAGGTGCACCTACGTAAATCCAACGCCGTGAAGAACGTTTTGCGTCTCCCAATTTGGAAAGGGTTTTATCGATGCGTGAGATCGTTCATGCATCTTTTATCGTCATAGCATTCAAGTAAAACCTAACTTGATCCCTTTTTAATTAGCCATGACCATCCCACAAGCCCCCGGTGACTTAGATGACTCAGTCATATCAATTTACATCAATTTTTCGACTTTTTTCCTACTTGCTTCTGCCTTGTAGAGGGGGCGGGGGCTAATTCACCTAGCGCCTTCCCTGTGAGGTATCGAGCCCTTTTCTAGTTTTATTTGGTCTTCTAAAAAATTGCAACAATCTTAATCAATCTTGTGTTTTGGAAAAAAATCATTTCAGTTCAGTCTTACCATTTTCTAAAGGATTCCAAATTTTTATCCAATATTTCTTTTTTTATGTGGTCTATTCTGGGTGAAGTTAGTTTATTTGCTCCTAATTCTGCATCAGATGGTTTTTAAGGGAACTTTGAACAGCTAGACAGCTCATCGTTTGTCTCTGACTTCAATAAAAAAAAATTATTTAAATACGTTAGTTCATTTTTTCCCTTTACTATACATTCTTTGCTGGCCTGTAACGGATGTTTAGTCTGTTCAAATTTTCCTTCTTTTTCTTTAGACTTTAAAATTCAAGGTAGAAAGGCAACGCATAATCAAGCTTCATTGCACGCTGCATCGTTGTTGCTGTTTCCTGTGTGTTCAACATCGCACTCACACACAGTCCGTTCTGAGTGAGTGAGAAATTTCTTTCTATATTAGCTGAGCTGATACTGTTCTAGTAGGAAACACAACCCCTCTCAACTAAGATCATTTAAATTTTTCATCCTGAACTTGGCTATCACAACCTGATTTGGTTATAATCTGACTTTTCGGTCTATGAAAATTGGGACCTTGGCTAGATTTATCTTGATCTTTTTAACGGTCTTCTTTTTATACTTCCTCTCGGTGTCTCTAATTCAGATTAATCCGTCGCTGTTGTCAAATTGAACTGGTCGGACTTGTCCTGATTCTCTTCGACTATGAAACTTATCCAGAGTTGCTTTCCACCGGCGAGATGATTGTTGTCTTTCCAGCTACGCAGATAGCCCCTTGGTTGGCTGCAGCCTGTCAGATGTTGGTCGCTATCAATTCCGACCGGTTGAAATCGATGTCGATGAGTTGCTTGTCTTGCGGGTCCAGCATGTGGGCTACCAGGTCGGCTTTACAATCAACGCGGACTGCGATCTGCTCGAGCATGGCGCTATGTCCGATGCACCGAACCTTTAGATCTTGTTTTTCTATGTAGATTCGACCCAACTGATCCTTCACGCTTGTGACATGAGCCTTTGTATGGATGTCATTAATATTCATCATGATTGGGTAAGGGCCATAGGGTTCCATGTAGTGTGCGTCTACCTTCATCTGTCTTGGTCCTCTTGTTGTTAGTAACGCCCTCACCACTCTAGAATCTACCTTTGGATCTTTCTCGCGCAAGTAGTCGGCATAGATCTTCAAAAGAACTAAATTGATTGCTGAAGGCTTCCTAATTTTTTTTAACGTTTTGTTGACCCGCAATCTGTATCACCGACAGTTTTTGGGTATTTCGATTTCTTCTATTTTCACAGTTTTTTCTAAGCTGTATCGTTTTTCATGCAAATCTGTGTTTTTTAGCTCTGATCTTACCCATTATTCATTTTTTTTGGTGGCAAGCTCCTGTTCAAGTTTTTGCAATGCGGCTCCAGCCGCCTGACCATGTTCCATTTTAAGCGTGTTAAAAGAGGCTGCATTTAGATTCGATGCAATAGCAACTTCTGCGAATGTTTCTTTGTTCCTCATACAGTCTGATTTAAACGGCCCCATCCCCCGCGAATTTGCAGAAGAAACATTGCGGGTCGTACTTTATATTGAGTCTTCTCACATACTCTTCGTGGTCCTCGTCTGTAGCGTCCACATCGTCAACGAGGTAACCATTGGCTCTCATGTTTTGCTTGCTGACATGTGATAGTCTAGGGAGACACAATCTCCTTTTGTCCATGTCGTTACGAGGTCTATTCCAACCGAAACCAGTGTTGTTCTTCATTGAACTATAATTAAATTAACTGTTGTAACGAGTTCGAGCTCTGGGTTTGATTAGAAATTACTCGCTCGATATCATGCTCAAGTCATTTGGAGTAGGTGCAGAATCCGCTGTAAGCGGAGGTGAGTGACATGCTTGATTTCGGCTCGTCATCTCTGTGGTGCCTTTTCTCTAGCTTCACCAACGCCTGTTGTCCTTGCACTCTGGAGCCAAAATAGTTTCGTAAAATTTCAAAGACCATCACTATCAAGTCTATTCGCCCCCTTCGCCATGACACAATTCAAGGCCATACTCTCTAGGTTGCTTCTCAGAGCACCGCATTCGTGTTTCTTCGATAGGTTTTGATTACCCATTTTTCGATGCAGCCCCCGACTCAATTTTGTATGACTTTGGCTTCTGTAACGTCCTTCGTGATCTTTCCCCTTTTTCAGTGGGCTTCGAGAACTTCGTGAAAAACGTTTCAAGTATTGATCGTTTCGAACATGGACGCATTCATTGTGGCCTTATGCGACTTCGCGGTCGGATCCGGAGCTAATCTGACCTTGGATATCTTTGGCATCTGTGTACCGGAGGAAGCTCCCCGATCTGGCTTGACACTGTATTCGACCAGTCTGACCCTGGTGGCGCTATTCTAGAGTCAAAACTGCTCAAAAAATTCAATTATACCTGGCCAAGTCTATGCACTGTAAATCTCGCTACAACTTGAAAAATCCCAAACCCGTGCCAGATGAAAACGAAGGCGAAGACCATTGGACAATCATACTAACGCCTATGCAACTACTTCTACTTTTCTTGACTCAGTATAATTTCTTTTTTTAATTTTCTTATTTGCTTGTAATTTTTTATCTGCTCAAATGATTTCGGCTTGTTTTTAATTGGCTTAGTGGCCTAATGTATCGCTTGCTAGTAGTTTTAGTAGTGTAGTAGTGGTAGTTGGGCGTTTGTGCACATAGCACAAGGGGTTTCCCCCGTCATTTATTTGTTCTATAGTAAAACTTCGCTTCTACAGTCGTTCATTTTGCAATCGTCAGCTATTCTCCATGTGCAATTGTTCGTTTGTTCACAGTATTTTCCCAATTTTCTTCAAAATAACCACACTATTTGTTTATCCAGTTTGCTTGTTTCTCGTAAGTCACTTTTGATTACGATTGCTAGCAGACATGTTTGGTACAACAATTCGTCCTCCAAAAAAAACTCCATGTTTGGCATTTGGAGCTGAAACATACAACTACGCGAGGAACTGGAAAACGATGGAACGTTTGAAATATCAACGACGAATTTCTTCGAAAAATAACTTTTGACAGCATTATAAGGCTATTAATCTGTATTTACATTGGCAGCGGCAGAAGCGATGTTTCGATTAACCGATCCTAATACGAATCCATGTGGCGTAATATCCCTTTAACTATACGCCTTCTTACGTTTTCAAGCGCCGTGAAAATTTATTTACTCAATCGATAACAGGGACTTGGGCAGGGTGATTATTGGTATTATCACATAGGTTTATTCAAATCCATTTTTCTTTCTGACCGGGATTCAATATGCTTTTTCAATCACGTGAAAACTAAAAATTATTCTGCAGCAATTTTTATTTAAATGCCAATTCCGTTTAAAAAAGTAGGATTTTATGAGGCTCAAATCAGATTGAGTTTCCTTGGTTTTAATCACTTCATTTTCGAAAAGCAGATGTTTTTCGTTTTTGAATATTAGAGTCGGTAGCATTTATCACTTTTGAAAGGCTATTTCTAACAGTCCAGTCATACAACGCAACTAAATCTCATTGAAAAATTTTTGAGGTTGAATCCAGGCCTAAAAATTTGGCGTCATCCGCAAAAAGGAGAAAAAATAATTATTATCAGTTTTTTAGAAGGTCGTTAACAAAAACTTAACTTTTAATTTTAATTGGTGACGAGTATACTCTAATTATGCGCAAAATTTGTGCATGATTTGACAGATTTGTTTCAATTTTTTTGCAGCAGCTTCTTTTTGAGGCCAGTTTCATAGAAATTTTGAAAAACCGACCACGGTCCACTCTGTCAAAAACCTTACTGTAATTAGTAAAGATTTTATCAATATCATTTTGACTTTTAGTGCCCTGGTGTATTTTTACAGAAAGATGATTAGTTGGATATCCTTTGATCGTCTTTTTTTAAATTCAGTTTAGGCTGCATGAAATAAAGTAGGGCAAAGATCTTAGAGTCGTCTAAAAAATCATTTCTAGGATTTTAGAAACTATTGATAACAGAGATACGGCTCTGAACTTTGTAACAGTGCGTTTATCGTTTTATTTAAATTAGACAGATGATTGTTTCTAGTCCGTTGTAAAAAAGCTGTTTAAAAACTTTTTTGAATAACTGTGATGGAGAATGAGGAAGAGTAATGAACAAATTTTTAAACAGTATCGGTAGAGTATGTCCATGTTTAGAGGACAATTTCAATTTTTTTCATTTTCTAGAAAAACTTAAGGTAGTAAGCAACTTTACGCAGTCATTGCCACTGGCCCCTTCAATGAATGTTGACGACTTGGTGTACACACAAGAGAAGAAAATAGAAAATTGTTCTGCTTTACCTTTGCACGTCTCATTGGAGACACTCCCGTAAAAGGTTTTCCGTGGGAGCTTTGATTTCCT